TTCCTGCTGGATCTCCCAGATGACTTCATACCCAGGATGAACAACGTTTTCAGCGCTGCACACGCTATCTGCTGTATATACTAACCACCCTTGAAAAACACTCCAACCACCAGCTCGTTAACAGAGATGTTACAAAACCTCCATGAGTCATTTCTGGACTTTGCTTTATTTTTTTAAGCACAACGTTAAGCAAGTCACCCAAAGCTCACACTCTCTAGGCAGCAGAGCGTGGTGGGACAAAGCTGCATCCCTGCAATTTGAATGCCTGTTGTCCTGGTGCAGAGTATCAGCAACTTTGTCCCTCACAGTGGGCTCTTGGTCACTGCCTCCAGTCTAGAGGCTGCTTCAAGCCTGCAGCTGATAAGCAGAGCAATAGGCACAGCCTGTGCTCTGCACCCATTTCTTCTGCAGGGGCTGGACGCTGATCAGGGCTGAGCCCAGGGCAAAGGCTCTACCAGCTCACTAAGAGTCCCCGGAGGCTGTACCACCCTAAAGACACTTGAGTCATAATCCCTTGTCCTCCTCCTTCCTCCTGGGAGTGGCAGCAATTTGCTATTGGCAGAAACCTGCAGGAACAGACTTCTAACCCCACCGCACGGCCAAGGGACAAGTCTCCACCCCGCTGTCCACCTACGCCACTTGTATCAGGAGGTTGGGAGCACGAAAGGCTCCTGCTTGCTCCTCCAAATCCGGGCCCCATTTCTGGGTAGCTCTGAATAGTCCGAGGTGGATTTTCCTGGGCGGGTTTTATTTTTAGGTTTTTGGCAGGAATTGTTTCTAGGGGAAGCATGCATTCTCGCTCTCCATCCCTTGTGCAAATGTACTGCCAGGCTCAGGCTCTCTCTGGAGGTGATTTAGGATGCTGGGTCTGCTCGTCTGGCTTCTCCCTCTATTTTAAAGAGTAGCTCCATGAAGGAGATAATACATGGTTCTCAGTGATTGTATATTTGTAGCTAAATGCAGCTCCTGAAGAGTTACCCTTCCGTTCAGAAAAGCAGGCCACTTCCTGCACTCATCTGGGCCACTGATTTAATAACTAGCATTGTAGGTAATGAATAACCATTTATCACCTTGGAATCTCCATGCTGTCAAATTATGGAGAAGCAAGTGTCTATCCCAAATTCTGCATTTCCCTCCCCTCTGGACTACTGGAGTATGTGCATTAGTTCATTCAGGGATATATATCCCTGGTCTCCCCATTTAACCTACTTATCTTAAACTATCTTATCCTATTTGCCCCAGAATTTCTAAAAAGATCCTACCCAGGGAGACAAGATCATGCTTGTGAAATTTTTGTATGTATTGGTTTAGTTTTGGCAAAGTAAGGAGGTAGTTAAAATGAGACTTATAATGGAAAGCTAGCTGCTAGCATCTCTCTATAATACATGTCTACCTTGCAGGAGAGTTGTGAGGATTAATTAATTTGTGTTTGTTAAGCACTTTGAGATCCTAAGATCAAAGGTTCTATAGAAATGCAAATTGTTATTATAATGATAACTTTTTAATATGAGCTCATATGTTTTGCCTTAGAGGCACAGTCTCACCCTAAGTTGCGTAGTTATACACGTAAATCTTCAAACATTATGATGAAAATTGTACCTCTGAGGCCCTGATCCTTCCTTCTGCTCTAATACTTCATGCATGGAGCTCCCTTTCACTTCAGACAGGTCCTGTGCATGGGACAACTGCAACACTGAGTTGCAGACCATTATGAGCCTTCAGGCTTCACAATGAGATAAATGAGTTCTGTCCTCACTCCATAAAGCTGCTGCTGCCAGGAGTTACATCCATCTTGCTAACGAAAGGACTGAGCAAATCACCTCACTCTGTTTCAACACCTCAGCTTCAAACCTCCTGCAATGGCATCCATCTATCTCACTCACCACCTACACCTGAAACACAGACCAAAGGCAAGACTGTTGGGCTGTGTGTGCCACTGTCCATCATAACACCTCTTCCCCCCTGTTAAAACACTCCTGAATTAAACTGCAATCACAATCTAAGTTTCAATGGGAAGATGTTGCTTCACGACCATTTGCAGTTAATGACACTGGGAGAGATGTAAAATGTCTCTGTGGGCATTGTGTAGGTGAGGCTGCAACTCTTACATGTCCCTGAAGGTGGACTAAAGGTAAGGAGCCAACACACCACCTCCTCAATGTGTTTTACCAGTTGACGTGTAGCCTCACAATGCTCCTGTTGTGAGGAAGCCTTTTCAGAAATAAAAGGTCTGATCAGATTCTGCATTATTCCCTTCCTCTGTCGTGGAAACCTTCAGAAGTTCTCATAGCCTGGGAAACTCCTGGCTACAGCATATACTTCCTATTGTCACAGAAGAGAATGAGCATTTGTCAAATTTAACACTTCCTGAATTTATAATCTTCTAAATTTCACCCTTACCTCTCTTTTCCTCCAAACAGTCTGATACAGACTTGATGCATTATCCAATATATCCTCTTTTACACTGCATGTTATCGATTCCTCCTATGAGCAATGAGCTACATATTCTGGGGCTGTGCTGCAGAACTGGCCATTCCCCCTCACTGGCTGCTACAAGCACCTGGCTGGGCACAAAAAGTCAACCTGGTCACATCCATGGTTTTCTCTCCCAGCAGCATGCTTACTTCCATTTTTCAAGGCAACGCTCAAGTGCTTATCAGAACTATTCTCACTCCTCCTGGCTCCCAGTGAGTTTCGAGACTGTGGCAGCAAGATGAAATGGGTCCATCAGAATTTACACAATTTACTCAGAAAGCCCATGCCTTACCATGATACACTGCCTATCCAATAGAGGCAGAATCTTTGTGTTATATATAGCAAGAACTGGAGCTGAGGCTCATGGCCTGGTCCTCTGGTGCGGGCTGAGCTCATACAGAGTTTGGCAGAGGTACTGCAGTACTGTCTGTTCAATGATGTGTGTGAGTGCTGGATTTTTTTTTTCATTCCTTTTTGACCTCTAATCTGTAAACATTAAGACTGCAAATGCCTCCGACACAAAATATTTTCTATAATGTCAGAGTTATGTACTTCATATGCCTGTGGGTGACTCCTTTGGAGCCCACTGGGCTACCTTCTCCTCAGCAAGGCAACCTGGGAAGCAGAACCGTTGACACCTCTGCAGCTTTACAAGGATTTTGGTGGCTCAACCTCCTTTGGACTTGCCACTGCGAGGAGCTATTTCAGTTTGCTGCTCCGACTCCAAGCCCAGCCACAGAGCATTTGCAGCAGCCAAAGGTTAAGAAGCTGCATTCAGACACCCGGGATGTGTGTCACAAAAGGCGGCAAAGTGAATTCTGGAAAGGTTTTCTCTCATGACATTCTTTGAGTGGTGGGGACAATTCACAGCAGGTCTGCACCTTGCACACGTGGAGATGGACAGCGGCGGGGTTGCTGCCAGGCAGGGTATAGGACACGTGCAAGTATAAGACAGCAGCTGGTGTGCAATCCCTGTCCTGTCCCTGCACAGCAGCCAGAGCCCTGAGTGGGCAGCAGGTGAGAAGGGAAGAACCAGGGAGGGGAACAGCAGGAAGATGTGGCTCAGCCTCCTGACAACGCATGCTTTTCCAGTGCCCTCTTCTGGAAAGCATCTTTGGCCCATGCAGTGCTTTGCATGAGTCAGATGGAGCCATGTAGGGAGCTGTGGAGGCACCAGGGTCTGCTGCTGGGTCTACAGCCATGTTCAGGCCTGACCAGGACACTGTGACCTGGACGTCCCTCCTGCCCCTGCTGCATGCAGCCCTAACATGAGGGAGGCTGAAGCGGTGGGTCTGAGCCATGACAGTGGCTGAGGAAGAAGGTCCCAAGTGTGAGAGTGGCTGTGGGTGGCAGGTCCCAGCATTAGAGCAGCTGAGAGCAGACCCACATGAGGGTGGCTGCAGAAGATGGGTTCCCACCACAAGAGCAGCAGTGAAATCCCCACCACGAGGATGACTGAGGGCAGCAGGTCCCCACTTTCCCCCAGCAGCTGCTCTCCTGCTGGGGGGATAAAGATAGGCAGTCGTGGCTTCTGCACGATTTGCTTTGCCATGATGCAGAAAAACTGCTCCAGCCTGCGCTGCAGTATTCGTGTCCCGTGCGAGCCAGCGCCCCCTGCGAGCCCGTGCCCCGGAGGTGGCCGCTGCGCAGAGACCTGACGCGCTCAGCGCACCCGCGGTGGGCGGGGCGTTACGGTCGGTGGGCGGGGCGTTAGGGGCAGCAGGCGGGGCGTTGGGGTCCGTGGGCGGGGCCTCCGCGCTCGTGCTCTCCGCTGACGTCACAATAGCGCTGGCCGCGGTCCCTGCCCGGTCCCAGCCGATCGCGGCTGGTTTGAGCTGGTGCGTCGCCATGGCGACGCCGGCTGCCCTATAAATAGAAGCGCCGCGGCGGTGGCGAAGCTTTGTCAGCCGCGGCGCCCGCTCCGCCCGCAGTCCCGCGCGGCCGCTCCGCCGCTCCCCTCCGGCGGCAGGGCGCCTCCCGGCCCGCTCCGCAGCGCTCGGCTCCGAGGAGGCGGGGGCCAGGGCACCCGGAGGGCTCCGACGGCAGCTGCCCGAGGTGAGGAGCGGGGAGCGGGGCGGAAGCCGGCCGGCGCGAAGCCACGTGTCTGCGGGGCCGCTGCCAACGGGCCGGGCGGGAAGCCGGCCGCCGCCGGCGGGCGCGGGGCCTCCCTCCGCCTCCTTCCTCCCGGGGAATCCCCGGCTCGGGGCCGCGTTGGCGGCGTGGCGCCGGCAGGTGCGTGGCGGGCCCTGCGGGGGGCGGGCGGCAGCGCCGGGTCGGCGTGTGCGCGGAACGTGGGGGGATCGGCCGTGCCGGGCGCTGCAGAAGCGAACGTTGTGGGTGGAGGTCGGGAGCCGCGTTTGGCTTCGTTAGAGCTTAGTCTGCGTCGAAGCTCCAGTTCGTCGCGTAAGTGAGAAACGGTCGAGTAACGCGAAGTGGTCTCCGGTAGCAGCAGCTGGGGGGACGTGCGGTTGTCGGAGGTGAGAGGTTTGAAGTCGCTTCTCGGAGCTTAGCGCCTGAAGCTTAAGGCGTGTGTGGGATGGACGGCCCGAGGGATCGCTAGCTGAAAGCAAGGCTGTAAAGGGTAACGTGCTTTTGTAAGCGGCGAGCTGCGGTGCAGCTGAAGGTTACCGGGTAACTTAAAGCCGAGAAAGCCTTGGCTCTCATCTGCGTGACTCGATAAAGTGGGAAAGTGCTGAGGGAAGGCCCGGGGCTGGATGGGGTTACATGAAACCCAATCTTCCCTGTGACTCACTGGCAGCCTTGCGGCCCTGAGGTCTTTAAAAAGCAGCGCACAGATAGATGTGCTTCAGCAGGCTGCCCTTCTGTGTGTGGCTCCCCGCTTAGAGTGAGCTGTGTAACTTGCCCTGCGCTCGGGTTTTGGGTGGCAGAGGAACGTCCTTTTGCCTTCTCGTTCTGGTTTTCAGGGGCTCCTTGTTCTGATTCTAGTTGGCTCCTTGTTAGCTCTGGAGAGCTGTTGCAGACTTGTGTGAAATCTGGTTATAAAGTGTTAATTGGAATTACTCACAAGACTCAATTTATGCCCACGGGCTGCAATCAGAAGCTGCTGTGCTGGTTTGTATCTACCATTCCTGACAGCTCAGGTTTTCTTCTTGTGTAGCTTGAAGGCTGTGCATAGAGCACGGAAGTCCAAACCACTGATAGAGCCAGATATTCCGTTTCCTTTGAATTACTGAGAGTTGTTACTGCTCAGAGGTAAGCAGTGTGCTCTGATTATGTCAAAAATAACTTGGAAACTTTCTCCCAGGAGCTGCTGAGTTACTGTAGTGCTTAAGAAAAGTGGTAATTACATTGAAACCAGTACTAGCCATAACATTAACAGTAACTGGTGTGGAAGCAAAGGAAAAGATGAGGGAAATTTCATGGAGTTAAATAGTATCTGCTATTACTAGTTTTGATAGATTCTGTGCATCATTCACTTGCTGAACAGAGGGTAGCTTGCCTTCAATCTGATATGGCTGCTTTATAGAGAGTCTTGTTGGTTCTGATTAAACCTAATGTGTCACCCGTTTAATTAAGGTTGTCAGTAACCACTGTAGGAATCATAGCTATCTATTCTATGACCACCGTGTAATGACTGCATGGATTTGAAACAATGAATGTGAACTGTATGACTTCAAATGAAATAACATTTGTCTGTGGGCTGTTTATTTTTTTGTGTCAACAGCTTACACTCAAGTCCTTCCACCTAAACTTGGAATGTCAGGAATCATGGGTAGCTTCAGCAAAGAAGAACTTGAATTCACCTTCCTTGATGAGGGCTTTACTGCCAAGGATATCCTTGACCAAAAAATAAATGAAGTGTCATCTTCTGTAAGTATGAGAAGAAAATGACTGCATTTCATGACACTGCAGGTTTATAAACTAGGGGAAGAAGTTGCCTCTGTGGATTTTCTGCAAGGCAACTCCCTCCTCAAGTGCTGACCAAACTTATTCTGTTATCCATGGCTTGCAACTTCAATATGTGTGTTTGCTCTAGGATGATAAGGATGCCTTCTATGTTGCTGACCTCGGGGACATAGTAAAGAAGCACTTGCGGTGGCATAAAGCCCTTCCTCGAGTAACCCCCTTCTACGCTGTCAAATGTAACGACAGTGAAGCTGTAGTGAAGACTCTCGCTGCTGTTGGTGCGGGATTTGATTGTGCCAGTAAGGTAAGACCTCATCTGTGTTCTGATCTGTGGTGCTGGCACGTGCTCAGCTGTGAAGTGTTTGTGTACAATTAAGCATAAGCACGCACTGTCACTTCTGTTCTCATGAATTTGATATATCCTTACTGTAACCTGTTCTCTCTAGACGGAAATACAGCTGGTTCAGAGCGTTGGGGTACCTCCTGAGCGAATAATATATGCAAATCCCTGCAAACAACTGTCTCAAATCAAACATGCTGCTAGCAGCGGTGTACAGATGATGACATTTGATAGTGAAGTAGAACTAATGAAAATTGCAAGGGCCCATCCAAAAGCCAAGTAAGTTATCCTAGCTGTTTCATAATTCCTGCTCGAGTTCTCAAGTTACTGAAACACTTGCTGTTAGTTGCAACTTGTTCTTTTTTTAAGATATGATGTGAAATTATGAGATAATAAGCCGACTTCAGCCACTGAAATCTAAGCCTGTGTACTGGCACGTTAGGAGGAGGCAGACGGGAAAGCTTGTATGTTTAAGGTTGATCTCATTTTAAAATCTTACCTTCCTGATGATGTCTTATTCTAAAACTTGGTTTCTTCCCTATTTCCAGGTTAGTGCTGCGTATCACAACTGATGACTCCAAAGCAGTTTGTCGTCTCAGTGTTAAATTTGGAGCTACTCTTAAGACAAGCAGGCTGCTTCTGGAGCGTGCAAAAGAGCTGGACCTTGTCATTGTTGGAGTTAGGTGTGTTCCATTTCAAAATGCAGCCACGTGGGATAAGATTTAAGTGATGTAGCTGACGACAGATAAGCATTTGTGTATTGTGACTTAAGGTTTATTTGAACTTACTGACTTACCAAAGACCAGCTAATATTTTGTTTCTCTTTCTAGCTTCCATGTTGGAAGTGGATGTACAGACCCAGAGACATTTGTTCAGGCTATTTCCGATGCCCGCTGTGTGTTTGATATGGGAGTAAGTACAGTTCTATTTAACTCGGAACTCCTGTTTAACTGTTGTGGCAAAACTGAATCAATTATAGAACTGTTAGAGGGTTAGAAGTTGGAGCTGCTCATTTCATGGTAGCGTTTCTGAGGTCTTGGTGGCTTACTATAGCAGTTCTTCAATAAAATTAGCAGCTCAAACTGAGATGACTATTAAAAGACCCCAGTGAATTAGCCCTGTTCTCAAATCTTAATAGAATGACTTACTGATTTATTTCTTTGTTTATAGCTAAAATGATAAACCAAAGGCTTTTCTTAACACTATTCCACTTGATTTCACTTCAGGCTGAACTTGGCTTCAGTATGTATCTGCTTGATATTGGAGGTGGCTTCCCCGGCTCTGAAGACGTCAAGCTTAAATTTGAAGAGGTATAGCTTTGCTAAGAAGTTCTGGGTTGTGGTGTCTTTCTGAATGCTGGACTGTATTAAAACCTAGCTCTTCTGTTGGTATAAAGGCACGCTCATAACAGAACGTCTGGTCAGAAATGGAGTTGAGAAGGAAAGAGGAGCCTGTATTTGGAAAATTAGATTATCTTGCAAGATAGAGCTAAATGAATGCATAAGTATGTGGAGATGCTGAACTTGTATAGCAGGTTTTAATTGCAGACTTGATTCTGACTGGCATAAACTTCTTCCAGTTGATTGTCTACTTCAGGTGTTATGAATTGATGATGCTCCCACATGAGATAAGAAAACCCTGAACACCCATACGGTCTGAGTGGCTTTGAGCACCAGATCAGTAAGTGATCTGGTTTATAACTAGTGTTAGGAGTGTATGGGTTTTTGTTTGATCAGTTTTCCAGTCTGCTTTCATAGAAATACCTACTTTCAGAAGAAAAGGTGGCTTACTGTTAAGGGGACTTAGTAGGGCAGTGTTGACAGAACACTTGCCAGTCTAAAGTGATGCTAAATGGTGTTATGTGCTTACACAAGGAGGCATCAAATAAGTCCCACAGAGTGAATTAACTGCTTATAATGTGGCCTAATGTTGCCTTGCTTGTTATACCTGTTAATGAAAGCTGACTTTTCCTAGTGTTGTACTGGCTTTGTATGAAATATCAAGTGCAAATGATGCTGCGAGTGGGCTCTGTGGCATGAGGCAGTCATGCAGTGGTTGGAGGCAGCTTTATCACTGATAATTTGGCAGCTGTGAAGGCAACAGTTTCCAAGATCATAGAATCATAGAATCACAAGGTTGGAAACGACCTATAAGATCATCCAGTCCAACCATCTCCTTATCACCATTGCCACCACAAGCTACTAAACCATATCACGCAGCACGTCATCCAGACGCCTCTTGAACACTGCCAGGGATGGTGACAAAGATTTCTGTAGTCTTAAAATCCTGTGAGATGACTTCTCTGGGATGCAGAAAACTGGAGGATGTTGCATTATTATTAGAATGAGAAACAGACCAGGAATTGAAGAGTGTTGACACATGAGGCACTAATGCTGGTTTAATGAGGCTAGGAAGGGTGACTTCACTGAGACTTAAATGACCAAACAGCTCATGTTTAAGTTTTTAAGCTGCTTTTGTCTTCCCCAAATATAATAAAGCAAAGGCAAATGATACAGTAAGCCACTTCTGTATTCTAATCTGTGTGTTTGAATAGTACATTACTGTGAGCATGGGAGTCATCCCTGACTAAAAAGAGTATCTGGGTAGCTGCTGAAGTAGTAATATTTGCAACTGGTGTTACTTCCTAGATCACAAGTGTAATCAACCCAGCACTGGATAAGTACTTTCCTCTGGATTCTGAAGTAACTATTATTGCAGAGCCAGGAAGATACTATGTTGCATCAGCCTTCACGCTGGCAGTCAATATCATTGCAAAAAAAATTGTAATAAAGGAGCAAACAGGTTCTGATGGTATGTAAATCTGGACTTGGTCTTCCCTCTAGCCTAACTGGACATTTCTTTTCAAGCACTCTCTTACTGGTGTCTCTGCTTCTTCCAGATGAAGATGATGTGAATGACAAAACACTCATGTATTACGTGAATGACGGTGTCTATGGATCGTTCAATTGCATCTTGTATGATCATGCACATGTTAAACCAGTTCTGCAAAAGGTACGTTTCACAAGTATTGCACATTGGTAGTTTGGCTGTAGACAAATCCCTCAGAATCACAAAACAGCTGGGTTGGGAGGGACTTCAAGGATCATGAAGCTCCAACCCCCCTGCTACATGCAGGGCCACCAACCTCCCCATTTAATACCAGACCAGGCTGCCCAGGGCCCCATCCAACCTGGCCTTGAACAGCTCCAGGGACGGGGCATCTACAGCCTCTCTGGGCAGCCTGTTCCAGCACCTCACCACTTTCTCTGTAAAGAACTTTACCTGATATCCAACCTAAATCTCCCCTCCCCCAACTTAAAACCATTTCCCCTTGTCCTGCAGTTATCAACCCTTTCAAAGAGTTGATTCCCCTCCTGTTTGTAGGCTCCCTTTAGGTACTGAAAGGCTGCAATGAGGTCACCCCACAGCCTTCTTTTCTCCAGGCTGAACAAGCCCAGCTCTCTCAGCCTGTCTTCATAGGGGAGCTGCCCTTCTCATAGCAGTCTCTTGTGTTCACTGTTCCCTCTGCATAGCCAGAATCTGATGTTAAGACAGGAGGCGTGCAGTGGAACTTAATTCAGAGCCAAGGGTGCAGAAGGACCTGCAACCGGTTCTTCCTCCTCCTAGAGAAGAGGCAGAGTGCTGTGCATACATCAGTCATGACATTACTTCTGGAAGCTGTTTCAGTTGTCAGACTAATTAGACTCTTCTCCGTAGCGGCCTAAACCAGATGACAGCTGCTACTCCTGCAGCATATGGGGACCAACGTGTGATGGCCTGGATCGTATCGTTGAGCGTTGTAACATGCCAGAGCTGCAAGTTGGTGACTGGATCCTGTTTGAAAACATGGGTGCCTATACTGTTGCGGCAGCCTCTACTTTCAACGGATTCCAGAGGCCAACAATACATTATGTGATGTCACGACCAGCATGGTTAGTAACTTAAATATGGTAATAACTTGATCCGCCAAGTGCTCTCATTAGAGAAACTGGTGAAAAGCCTATCAGTTGTGACTATGCTGTATCAAACAGTGCCATGGCTGAGCTGCTGCAATGTCTGGAAAAACATATTTTAATGTGAAAAGCAACATCTGTGGTAGTCTTTGCATGTTTTTAGAAAATCATAACACTACCAATTAATTTTTTGCTCTGGTGTATTTGTCTCTAGAAGCACTTTTAAAGAGAAAATGCTACAAGTCCATTCACTAACCTAGGTTTCTAGCTTGTCTTTCAGTCTTGCACAACACAGGGTAGTTACAGATTCTTTACAGTTAGCTTCTCTGGCCAGTGATCAGAGACAAATCACTCACCGTTTTGATATTATGCTATCTTGTAAATGGAAAGCCTAGTGAAAGTGAATCCTGACTGTAAGGGACAGGAATGTGGAGGAACAGTTCTTAACTGTGCAGCTTCACAGTATGTTCTGTTTGAGAGCTGTTTGTGGGCGTAAATTGAGCTCTGGACTGTTGCTTACTGCAGTCTGTTGGATCTCCACAGGAAACCCTAAAATAGAGGAGGATAGCAAAGTCACTTAAGTACCAGAATACTGCAAAACTGCATCTTCAAACAATAGTTAAAAGTAATCTGGATGTTTTTATCTGCAAAGCAGGTTAATGGACTTACACAAAAACCCACTTTTATAGAAGAGGAAGTCCTTATCTCTACTGAAGTTTCCCTATTAAAATGGTAGAAAGTATTTGGGCAGCAGTATTAGCATGTTTGGCCAGGATCAGGTGGTTCTGAGATTTACTGTAAACTCTAAAATCTGGGAGAGTTCTAGCTGTAAAAGAGGCTTCCTCCATTCTCTTATTAGCCTTGCCTTCCTATAAACAAAGTTTGCAGTGTTGTTTGGCTTTTCCTTCCCTCACCTTTAGTGACACCTCCAGTCAAGTGAAGCATTGCTGTGTCATGTAAAGCCTTAGGCTTCCCATTAGACTTCAGACTTGTCTGAAACTTAAAGTGACTCTGTGGAATTGTTAACTTCTTCATTATAGACTTCAGTTAAGATAGTAATATTTGAGCTGAGCCATACTGTCCAAGGCTACAGTTCTTTTCACCCCTTCTTAGAGTTTTTTTTTGTTTTTTTTTGGCAAGAAAATTCTACTAGCATATGCTAACCCTTATCTGAGGGAGATATAATTAGTGAGGTTGTGCTGCATGTCTTTTCAGCACGGACAAAAGCTTTTGTGATATGTGCTCTACATGTTTAAGTGTACAGCTGTATTTATAGCTCTAGCTGCAGAATGTGTAGGGGATGATCTATGTCTGAGTGCATATCATGTGGGCAACCATGCAGTAACACAACTTTTCTTTGCATGCAGCGTAAGATAAGCAGTCAAAAACTATTAGCTGAAGTTCTTTTGTACTGAGCTTGTTTTGGTACAGTGTCCGAGGATGAAGGGAGTTGTGGTTCTCCTTTGCCAACTCCCTTACATTCCTGCTGTTAACCTCACTTGAAATTCAAGGTATCTGAGAATGTGATGGTGTGGGAAAGGAAGAATGAATTTCATTCTGGAATGACCTCTAAGTCATGAAACCTGTGTGGTGTGTGGTATAAAAATGTAGGTCCTGATATCTGTATCTGCAGATATAGAGATCCTACTTGGAAACAGTGAAACAGCTTAATATTGGCACTTACACTGAAGACTGCAGATGACATGTGCAGACTATTGTGCTTTGCTATTCTGTTCTAGTAATAATGTCTGGATTATAAACCATCAATTTCATGTTCTGGTAGCTACATAGTAGTAACTAAACTATTTCATCTATCTGTTCTAGGATGTTGTAGTGAAATACTCTTTTGACTGTTGCTGTTTTTCTTTCTAGGCAACTAATGCAACAGATAAAGGAGCAGGAGTTCCTAGCTGAAGTGGAGGAGCAGGATGTTGCTAGTCTGCCCCTCTCCTGTGCCTGTGAAAGTGGAATTGAGTATCCAGCAAGTTGTGCTTCAGCTAGTATTAATGTATAAATAATAAATACTTAGAAACTAACTGCAAGTTTAGTCATTGAATTTAGGGCATTTGGGGGACCATTAACTTAATTCTTGCTAGAATTTTTAAGTGTTTTTTAAAAGTTTAGGTTTGGCATAAACGCAACAAAAAATGACTAGGAGATGGGTCACATTTATCTGTGTTCCTATGGAAACTATTTGAATATTGTTTTATATGGATTTTTATTCACTTTTCATGTATGCTACTAAAGTCTGACCCTCACCTGTCAAACAAGTATTTGTAGCTTGTGTACGGCAGAATGGGCTAAGCTTAGTGTTCTGTGACCTACCTGTTTTAAAATAAAAGTATATTGAAATAACTGGTCCTGTGCTGGTTGATCTGTAGCAAATTCACCTCTCCTGGAGAGCTGTTACAAACTACATGAGCCATTTCTTCAACCCTTACCATTAAGCAACTTGTCAGGGCTTGTGACTAGAAAAAGTTCTGACAACTGTAGTAGTGAAGTTCCATGGGGGTTGTGTGTCTTTCTACATGGCTAACATTGCACTGTGTAAGCCAAATGTGCAAGTTTTATACTAGTCTACAATTCCTGTAAGCTTCTGACTAAGCGTATCTGCTTATTAATGAAGATGTAGCACAGGTTCTGTGGCTGCATTTGACAAGTTGCTTGTTACAGAAGGTACGTATAGAAGGGTTAAAACAAGTAAGCAGAAAAGAGGCTGAAACTTATGTGGGGCTGACTATAGAGCAAGGCAGTACCTGACCCATGTCAAATGGCTGAGTGATTCTATGTCTCATCTATCATAGAAGCATAGAATGGTCTGGGTTGAAAAGGACCACAATCTAGTTCATTTAGTTCCAGATCATCGAGTTTCAACCCCCTTGCTATGTGCAGGGTCGCCAACCAGCAGACCAGGCTGCCCAGAGCCACATCCAGACTGGCCTTGAATGCCTCCAGGGATGGGGCATCCACAACCTCCTTGGACAACCTGTTCCAGTGCGTCACCACTCTTTATGTGAAAAATTTCCTCCCAGTATCTAACCTGAACCTCCCCTGTGTTAATTTAAAACCATTCCCCCTTGTCCTATCACTACCCACCCTCATAAACAGCCATTCCCCCTCCTGTTTATATGCTCCCTTCAAGTACTGGAAGGCCACAATGAGGTCTCCCTGGAGTCTTCTCTTCTCCAAGCTGAACAAGCCCAGTTCCCTCAACCTTTCCTCACAGGAGAGGTGCTCCAGCCCTCTGATCATCTCAGTGCCCTCCTCTGGACCCCTTACAAGATCTCCACATCCTTCTTGCGTTGGGGGCCCCAGGCCTGGATGCAGAACTGCAGATGAGACACAGCCTATTATGCATGTGATACCATTACAGCTTTTACTTAACCTTATGGAAATATTGAACGAAAGTTTTTAGAGTAAATGTAATAACTAAGTAAGCCATAGGAACTAACACAAGGAATGCTTACTGGGGTAGATCATTCCGACCTCCAGCTGACCTGGTGCTCGTTTATTGCCACTTGGGCCGAAATAGCAAAGTATTTCTAATGTGCTGCAGGTCCCAGCTCTGTTCAGTTTGCCTGACGGTCTTGAGCTGCAGGCATACCTTAGTAAGCCTCTGTACCGTGGAGGGAAAGAAGTAAGTTGATCTTCCAAATTAGCTTAAATTTAAGAGGTCATCCAAGGGCTTGCATTGCTGCTAAAGCAGCTGCGTAAAACAATGTTTAATCTTCACCCTCTGCTTTTAGTGGAGCCTCAGCTCTCCCACAGCTGAATGAGCTGGATAAACAGAGGCAATGATTCCACATTCCTCATTCTCCTGAAGCAGCAAGTGCTTATTTTTAGTTACTTCATTCCTAGCTTCAAACTTGTGACTGAAATAGTGCTTGCATTTATTCTCCTGTATGCAGTAACTGTCTGTTGGCTGCTGGACCACCTTGCTGCAAACTGCAGTAACATGCACATGGTGATAGCTTACATCTCATGTCAAACTCCTTGCAGTCAAACTAGGGGTTTGCTTATAGCTTCTATGGATTAATAGGAACTTGATGATTCTTAATATGAAAGCAAAAGTAACAAACATAAAGCAAAACTTTGTAGTGCAACAATTTCACAACTAAATGCTGCTCTGTGACAACTGTGTTTGACCTGTGAAGAAGAAAATTAGCAGGAATACAGAAGTACTGCTGGAAGAGCCTGCAGGTGTCTGAAGGAGACATGGGCAAGCCTGTCTGTGTGGGGATGGTTGGGCCAGAAGGGAGCACAGCTGTTTTGAGACCCTGGGTGGTTACATCTGCACAGCAACTGGTGCCAAGGTCTGCTCTGCCCTGATGGGCAGCCACTGCCATCCAGCTTCCTCTGCTCCCTGCCAGGGAAGGCCATTCCCAACAGGTAGCATCAGCACAGTAGGGTGTGGGAGCTAAGAAGGAAGCTGCCTGAGAGGAATTTGGCAGGCTGCCGCTTAGTTCCTTGAGCTGCAGCTAACTCAATTTGCTGTTTCAGCTCTTCCAGTGCCTTGTCTCAAAATTCCATGTGGTTCTCTCAGCTGGAGGCCAGGACCGTGGCAACGTGATGAGCATTATGATGGACTCAGACGCATTCCCCAGAGGAGATACAGCTGACATCAGCTCTTCTTCACCATCTTTCTTTACAGCAGGTACTTCATAGCCTCAGCTCATGCTCCGTAAGATGTGTCTGATGAGAACACCTAGCACTTTAAGGGAGCAGCCAGCCTTCCTGTACAGCTTTCGTGTGAAAACCAGTGGGGTTTGCTAGCTGATGGCTAGCACTGGTAGGAGTACCATGTAGCACAGCAGTGATCTAATAAAATAGCAAACGGTTATGGTTTATTTTGCTTTCCCTTCCCCAAGACTTATGCCATCAAAGCTTTTGCTCAGTTTTGCCCCATTAATTGATCAAGAGAGTAGCCTGTGTTTTCCAGCTCTCTTCTAGCTCATCATGCTCTGTACAGTGCTATCACACTGTGAACACGTAGGCTTTGCTGGCACACGTGCAGACTGGTACTGCTGCTCAGATGGTCACTGCTCGTTGGTGATAGTGCCTGTCTCTTGGGATCACTAAAGGAAAAAGTATATCATACCACAGCGGAATACAAAGATCTCCCCAGGATGAATCCAGAATCATTTGAGTTGGAAGGGACATTTGAAGGTTATCTAGTCAACTCCCCTGCAATGAACAAGGATGCCCACTGCTCCATCAGGTGTTCAGAACCCCTTCCAGTCTGACCTCGAATGTCTCCAGGGATGGGGCATTGTCAACGGTTTATGGGCTGGTCCGGCCCAGTTCCGTGACCAGCAGGGCGGAGGGATCTGCGGATCCGCGCCTCTGGGAAAGGGGAAGCAGGGGACCCCAAAATACTTGAAAACAACAGCACTGATCTGAGGTGGAACAAATGATTTTACTAAATATAGTATTAGTAAAATACAATGAGAGAGAGAGAGAGAGAGAGAGAGAGTCTGTTTGAATTGTATAGACCTCACCACAATGCTGGGGTGAGAAGTGCAGTCCAGTTGAGAGACTGAAGTGCAGACGGCGAAGTGCAGATGGCGAAGCGCAGGCAGCAAAGCGCAGATAGCGAAGCGCAGACAGTGAAGAGCAGGCGAAGAAGAAGAATCAGGTGACCTTGCTTGGAGTTATATCCCCTTGCTGACCGCAAAGTCTCCTGGGGAAATGTAGTTCTTCTCCAACAGACGAACATTCGGCAGATATCAAACCCCACCCCCAATGCATTACATGATGTTATGGTGTGGAATACTGATGACCAAAAATCATAAAACCATGACATTCCACCCCTTATTCTACATCACTACATCATGCTTAACACATGGGATTACAGACTGCACTCCCCTAACATCAAATTCCCTTGTGGTACACACTGAACATCCCCGTTTTTCTGCATCACCCACCAGGTGGACCCAGGTCCCTGGGCAAAGACAGTTCCGCGAAGAGGTTTGCCCTTCCCAGAAGCAGGAAAAACCCAAACTGCTTTTCCTAACATGTTCTTTACATGTACTACAGGGACCTTATCTCCCTCTACAATATGTAGGGAGCTGGATTGGGTAGGACCATCTCGACTGATTGATCCTCTGGTGTTAACCAGCCAGGTGGCTTCTGCCAAATGCTTCTCCCAGTGTTTAAATGTTCCGCCACCCATTGCTTTCAACATCGTTTTTAACAACCCGTTGTAGCGTTCGATCTTACCAGAGGCTGGTGCATGATAGGGGATATGATAAATCCACTCGATGCCATGTTCTCTGGCCCAAGTATCCACAAGTGAATTTTTAAAATGAGTCCCATTATCTGACTCAATCCTTTCTGGGGTGCCATGTCGCCACAGGATTTGCCTCTCCAGACCTAATATGGTGTTTCGGGCGGTAGCATGGGGTACTGCATATGTTTCAAGCCACCCGGTTGTTGCCTCCACCATGGTGAGCACATAATGCTTACCATTGCGAGATCGTGGCAAGGTGATATAATCAACCTGCCATGCCTCCCCATATTTGTACTTTTGCCATCGCCCTTCCTCCCAGAGAGGTTTCATCCTCTTAGCTTGTTTAATGGTGGCGCATGTATCACAGTCATGAATGATTTGTACAATGGCATCCATAGTTAAGTCCACCCCTCGGTCTCTGGCCCATTTGTATGTTGCATCTCTCCCTTGATGACCTGAGGTCTCATGGGCCCACCGAGCTAAAAATAACTCACCCTTGTTCTGCCAGTCCAGGTCTATTTGAGCCACCTCAATTCTGGCAGCTCGGTCTACCTGATGATTATTTTGCTGTTCTTCAGTAGCCCGACTCTTGGGCACATGAGCATCTACATGACGCACCTTTATAACCATATTTTTTGTTCGGGTAGCAATATCTTTCCATAGGTCAGCAGCCCAAATAGGCTTGCCCTTTCTTTGCCAATTATTTTGCTCCCACTGCTGTAACCACCCCCATAAGGCATTTGCTACCATCCATGAATCAGTGTAAAGATAGAGCATTGGCCACCTCTCCCGCTCAGCGACATCTAAGGCCAGTTGGACAGCCTTTACCTCTGCAAATTGGCTCGATTCTCCTTTCCCTTCGGTGGCCTCTGCAACTTGTCGTGTGGGGCTCCACACAGCAGATTTCCATCTGCGATGCTTTCCCACAATACGACACGATCCATCTGTGAACAGGGCATATTTCTTTTCATTCTCCGGTAGTTCATTGTATGGTGGGGCTTCTTTAGCACGTGATACTTCTTCTCCTGGTGGTGTTCCAAACTTTTTACCTTCAGGCCAGTCCATGATGACTTCTAGGATTCCTGGACGGCTGAGGTTCCCCATCCGTGCTCGTTGTGTAATCAAC